CGGGTCCATCTCGTAGCCGGCTGGCATTTGCTCTGTCAGACACAGGGAGGCTTCCAGCAGCTTCTCACAGAAGCCACCCCTGTAGCCCTCCTCTGCTACCAAAACTTTGCCACGCAAACCCAATACACCTTTTCATCAAATAAATTTTTTCATCCAGTGTCGGCTTGAGCAGAAGTAAAAGGCTGACTGAAAGCACACTGTTAATATACATAATACTGATCAGAAGCTGTTACGTGTAGGGCAAACACCTTAAAATACAGTGTTGTGTGTTGTACATTCTTGCTTTTAGGTTTGTGGCTACAGAATACGACTCCATTTTGATGGATACCCAGATTGTTACGATTTCTGGGTGAATGCTGATTCTTCAGACATTCATCCTGTTGGATGGTGTGAGAAAACAGGTCACAAGCTTCATCCACCTAAAGGTATTGTTTAGTATGTAATGTGTACATTTTCCATAGCTCTGAGATCAAGACTATCTTTGTAATGCTGTAATTATATTTTTTGGCAGAAACTTTTTGTTCATTTAGTCAGAGTATTTGAACATGGCAAATTAAATGTAAAGTCTTGCTAAAATGTTGAGGTTAAATCCTACCTTCATTCAGTGGAAATTCAGAGAAAACAAAACCAAACCAACTGTAAAAGTAATTAATAAGGCGTTCGGAAAGAAAGTTAAGCAACAAACCTAGACCCCAGGTGAATGCTTACTGCAAGAAAAATGGCAGCATACTGGTGACCTGGATGCTTAAACTGAAGTCTCGCAGGCAGCTGAGAATCCATAGTGAAAGGTCTTAGGATATTTTCATCGCTACATATTGATCACCATTATTGTAAATGTGTTGTCACAGACTAATAAAGATTGTGCTCTCACCACAAAGAGTAAGCTTCAAATAGAGAGAAGAGAGGAATGAACTCATAAGGAGGGAGAAAGAAGGGTAAGATTACAAGCCTGGACGCATAATTTGTGCATAGCTTTTGTAAATGGTATACGTGTGTTGAAATACATGTAATTTGCTCACTTAATTGCTCTATTTCAGATTATGTAACTTCTTTATTTTGGCAAACGGAGAACACCTGCACTGAACTGTACCATGAAAAAAAGGAATAAATTTGCTCCCTTTTTGATGTAGGAAAGAAGTACATGGGGATGAAGGGAGCAACTGCAGGAGACAGGAGGATGATGGATAAATTCATTTGGTGTTTTAACATGCACAGTGAGTGTAGGATAATGTGGTCTTGAAAAGCTGCAAAATGATGAGTGTAGAGTTAAGAGGATGCATTATGGAGAATTATAAAACTGTGGATGTAGCTGCTGGGGTATGGAAGGTGAGAGTAAAGCCACACAAAGTGTATAGGCAGAGGGCCTGCCAGTGTGGGAGAGGGTGGCATTTCTGCAGCTGAGCCTTGGAGGAGTATGAAGGAGTATGTATGTGCTGCTCTTAAAATTCTGCTTTCGCTAATGGCGGGAGTGTTCTTTGTTGATGCTCCAGTATGGGAGTTTTCACTGAGCATAGTTATGTATAACTGGTCGTGCAGAAATAGCAATTTCTTGAGCATAAATCAGAATTTCTCAGAAGTTTGGCCTCTACTGAAGTAGTAAGTTACGTGTAGCAAATGAGTACATCACAGTTATAGAGTTATTGATGTTATTACAGCATGCTTAGTAAGTTTTATATCTGTGATGGAAGCTTGTCATCTTTTCCATCTTAAATGCCTGATTTAGAAAGCTTAAGCTTTTGTTAACAATGACTTACTGCTTCTGGAGGAAAGTTACTGTCTCCGAGTCACTTTCATGAAAAGCTTCTTCAGTTTCTCTTCTAGTTTTAAGTTGGTGGGAAGATTATTCTTTTGTGGTTTTTTTTTTTTTTTTTTTCACCATACTGAAGCAGTGAAGAGGTCTTTTACTTCAGAAGGTCATGGAGCACCTCAGAGGTGTTGAGGGAGACAAGTTAGGAGGATATATGATGGTAATTCTCAGGGTTGTGGTTATCATCCTGCCCAGCTATGTACTCCTACCACCCCCAAGATGTATTCTTGATTTTGTATAGCAAGGCTGTTCTCTCGTATTTTTATCCAAGACCTGAAAAATGCTCTGCATGGCTCTGCTGCTTCACCTCAGCGATAAACAGTTTCATTGTTGATGAGGTATGGTGTGATTGCTCTTGTACTCATGGGACTACTTCCGTTGTCCTAGTGCAAGCCTAACTTGCAAGTGGGATGGAAGAGGAGCAGGAAAGAACAAGCTGTATAGTAGAGTCATGCACTAAAAGGAGGCTGAAAGCAACCAGCCGTTAAGCAGTTAAACATATTT